AATTTGCATCTCTCTGATGATTAGTGATGTTGAACATTTTTTCATATGTCTCTTGGCCATTTGTATGTTCTGTTTGGTGAGGTGTCTATTTAGGTCCTCTGCCCATTTTTTTAATTGGGTTCTTTGTCTTCCTTTTGTTGAGTTGTATGAGTACTCTATATATATTGGAAATTAGTCCTTTATCTGATGCATCATTGGCAATTATGATCTCCCATATAGTGAGTTTCCTTTCCATTTTGATAATTGTTTCTTTTGCTGTGTAAAAGCTTTTTAGTTTGATGTAGTCCCATGTGTTCATTTTTTCCTTTGTTTCTCTTGCCTTAGGTGTTGTATCAGTGAAACTTCTGCTCCGCATGATGTCTGAAATTTTGTTGCCTACATTTTCTTCTAGAATTTTTATGGATTCACAAGTTACATTTAAGTCTTTTATTCATTTTGAGTTTATTCTTGTGTATGGTGTAAGTTGGTGGTCTAGCTTCATTTTTTTTGCAAGTAGCTGTCCAGTTTCCCAACACCATTTATTTAAGAGACTGTCTTGACTCCACTGTATGCTCTTGCCACCTTTGTCAAATATTAATTGAGCATATTATCTTGGGTCAATTTCTAGGTTCTCTGTTCAGTTCCATTGATCTATCTGCCTGTTCTTGTGCCAGTACCAGGCTGTTTTGATTACAGTGGCTTTGTAGTATAACCTAATACCTGGTAATGTGATATCACTCCTATTTTGTTCTTTTTTTTCAATATTGCTATGGCTATTTGGGGTCTTTTTGGTTCCATATAAACTTTTGGAGTATTGTTCTAGTTCTGTGAAATATGTCATTGGTGTTTTGATGGGGATTGCATTGAATCTGTAGATTGTTTTGGGTAGTATGGACATTTTAATGATGTTAATTCTTCCAATTCATGAACAAGGTATGTGCTTCCACTTTTTTATATCTTTCTCTATTTCTTTTTTTCAATGACCTGTAGTTTTCTTCACATTGATGTTTCTATCTCTCTCTCCTTTCCTCTCTCTCTAAGAAATAAATTTTAAAAAAAAATTAAATTAGGACTTAATAAGGAACTAATGTACATAGTTTTTTATTCATAAAGGCTGACCATTAAAGTCCACTGAAAAATGCTAGTTAAGTCCAGAGCATCTCTAACCATGTTCACTATAACCCACACCACCCTTTCAATTCTACAAACTTGATAACTAATTAGTTCTCTAAGCATAGAGCCTTCTTACTGAAATTTTTGTGTTGTTTCTGTATGGATGGACTCTCCAAAACTGTGTTTGGAATGAATCAGTACCTAATGAGTTTTTCTGTATATTTTGTTAGTATTTCTTATTAAATTTGAGCCACACCATCATCTGTTACTTGGTAGATAGTGGTATACAACCGTGGGGTTTGGGGTTTACAATCATGTGAATGGGAATACTAACCAGCAAGCAAAGACTCTTTCCAGTGGAATGAACAGTGGTCTATATAGCCCAAAATAGAAAGTTAAGCAAGATGTATAAAATTGAGACTTCTCATTTCCACTTTTGATGATGGCCTGTTAATCAAATTGGCCTGGACATAGTGGTTTTTGTATGGGGAAATGGTATTGCCCTTAAGCCCTCCTTAGTCCCATCTCACTGTATTAAACCTAGTGATCAGAGCAGAGTCAAAAAAGGAAAAGAAAAAGAAAGCAAGATCAAATGTAGCTGATGTGTGAGCATGCATCTCCCCAGATTACTAGGTCTTGGATGAGCTTGAATCTGGATGTCTTAGTCTTAATCAGAGGAGAATCTTTCTTTATCAAAAATCAAACTAGTTTCTAATGCAGATTTCATTAGGTCAGAAGTTTGGGCCCATATCTGCATTATCCTCTCTTTTGGAAACCCTTGCTGAGATCTTTAGCATTCTCGAGCACACCTCTAGCATTCAATCGTTCCCATCTATAGGTTTCATATATAACCCTCCTCCCTTATGTTCTTTGCCACTGGCCGATAGCGGGGATCTTGAAAACTATAACGTCATTCACCAAAGGCAGCATGTCTAGACACCCGGATTTCAGCATGAATGATAGGATCCCTGCCCTCGAGCTGGAATTATACAGACCAGTAGTGAACCAGAGATTACAGACTGAGGGAGGGAAAAGTTCACAGGTAGTGACAATGCAAATAATAAAGGGCTGCTCTTGGGGAAGCACAAGGAGGTATATGAGCACCCAACTTGGACTTTGGTGGGGGATGGGCGGGAAGGCTTCTCAAAGATTTCCCCTTTGTGATTCTGGACATAGCTCTATTCCAGTGCCTACCACATTGTATGCAGATGATCTCTTATTGTCTATTTCCCCTCCACACTGACGGCGTCCTCAAGAATTAAAACTTAGTCATCTTCAGATCCTTGGCACATTGCCTCGCCCATACTATTACTCATAAATGTTTATCAAATGGAACTATCCTCTTTTATTTTCTTTATCTCTTTGTTTTTTATTAACAGCTTTATTGAGACATATTTCACATACCATAACATACACACATCTAAAGTATACAAAATATATCCACACAAAACAATGGTTTTTCATTCAGTGCTACTGTGTATATTCACAGAGCCTTGCAACCACCAACACTAAGCAATTCTAGAACATTTTCCTTACCCTGAAAAGAAACTGTATTCTTCAGCAGTTGCTCCCCATTCTCCTCTCCCTCCAGGCCTTGGCAACCACTAACCTAATTTCTATATCTACGAATTTGCCTATTCTAGACATTTCATGTAAATGGAATCATACAATATTGTAGCCTTTTGTGTCTGGTTCCTTTCATTCAGCATAACATTTTCAAGATTCATTTGGTGCATATAACAGTTCTTCATTCCTTTTCATGGGTGAATAATATTCCATCGTGTGGTCATACCACACTTTGTTTACCCATCCACCACTGGATGGACATTTGAGTTGTTTCCATCTTTTGGATATTATAAATAATGCTGCTTTAGACAGTTAAGTACAGGTTTTTGTATAAACATATGTTTTCAGTTTTCTTAGGCATATAGCTAGGGGTGGAATTGGTGGGTCATATGTAACTTCATATTTAACCTTTTGAGGACCTGCTGAACTGTTTTCCAAAGCACATTTTACATTCCCACTAGCAATATCTGAGGGTTCCAATTTCTCTATAGCCTCACCAACATTTGTTATCTTCTGTCATTTTTATTGAAACCATACTGGAGGATGTTAATTGGCATCTTGTTGTGTTGTTGGTTTGCATTTCCTCGAAATGGTGTTGAGCATCTTTTCATGTTCTTTTCTTCATTTTCAACTTTTTTTTCCTCATTGAGAAAATAGCCAGAACTGGAAATACAGAACTGGAAATAAGCACATAGTAGATGCTAAATAAATGTTTTCTGAATTCATAGATGCATTTTTTATTGAACACACAAATCATTACAGTCCCCTTTTTTTTCTGCCCAGATCCCTCCCAGAACTCTCTTTATTCAATGTCTAATGAGAGTTTTGAAGCCCTAGAAGCGAACTCCACAGACTATCATGGTTTCCATGATGCAGAAGTCAACTAAGAAAAGCTGTGATATTTAAAGATAATCCCGTACATGACCAAATCTCACTTTGAAGTCATTTATCTCTCTCCCAGGAACTGACATTTAAAAAATAAAATAAAATCTGAGCAAATTTCTAAGAAGTTGTGAAAATGACTCATTTTCTTCTGTTTTCTTTATGGCTTTGTTCTGAAAAGTTAGCCCTCAGTGACCTAGTTTAACAAAAGATCTGTGGAATTATCATGGTAAAACATAGTGTAAGTCATCTGTCCTCTCAACCTGGCTAATCTTTACTGAAACCAGTAAGAGTTTACTGTGTCCAAGAACTTCATAAGGGACCATGATCAAGAAAAAGAATTATTTTGTTTTCTTGGCTTCTCCCTTCTCCACATCCCAACAAATCAGACCTTGTTTTGATTTTTTTTTTTTTTTATCTTATTAAAGCTATGTGCTTCTATGGTAAACTGTTGATACATATGAAACTGAATCTGCCCTTCTGAATTAGTTTCTTGTGTTTGGACATCATCTACAAGTGAAGGGAAAGAGGCAAAGACCAGTGGGAAGTCGACTGCTTCTGTTTCTGTTTTTAAACTTGAGCTTCCTGAGTCAAGGATATAAACTAATAGTACAGTAAAAAGGGAGCTGTCATGGTTGGGTTATTTTTCCTTAACAGATAGAATGTCTATTATTTCACACTACCCAATGTTGTTGGGTTGTGTATTGTATCACAAGTTTAGCAGTTTTATTTTTAGATGGCCTTATTCATTCTACTTAAAGTTAACTGTCTAGTTTTAGAAAAAGACCAGCATAACTTATACTGGAGGACTAGAAGGTAGTCCACCTAGGTTTTAGTCTCTGCTGTTAATTTCTAGGGTAACCCTGAGGAAGGTCAAACTTCTGAAGGCCTGTTCACCTTAGAAGAATTCAATGATCTCCAAGGACCTTTTCAGCTATAATGTTTGCTGAATTTATTTGCATGGTGCTTTGATTTCAAAGTGGATCAAGTCTTCTAAGAGCAAGGTCTAAAATAAGCCCTATAAAAGAGACGTTGTCTCGGATCCTGGCCTCTGCATGATTCATTGGCTCCAGCAGCCTTTCGGTCTGTTCCCACTTTGCACAGCAAGTGTGATCACACTTATTTCTAAGGCATTCTGAAATCCTGGGCCTAATATTAGCTCTGTAAGTGTGAGATAAGATGCTAGGTAAGTATAAGATACTAGGGAAGTCTATTCAGTCAGGGAAAGACTTTTGAAGGTTTTCTTGTTAAGTGGTTTCTTTACCTTTTATATGTAAAACTCAATGGTCAGGAGCTATAGATCCTAAAGCAGAAATTATGTTAAAATGTATAAAAGAATTGTCTTGCCTCCTCTCACCCACCTTGCCTCCTGTCCTCTCCTTATCCTCCCCCTGGCTCTAGTGTATCTTTGACTTTAACACTATTGTTTTCTCACGTTCTTCTTTTTTCCTCCTTCACAGGGTATATCCCCAGTTACTTAGACAAGGACGAGCTGTGTGTGGTGTGTGGTGACAAAGCCACTGGGTATCACTACCGCTGCATCACCTGTGAAGGCTGCAAGGTAACTGTCCTGGGGCCAGAGCTCAGAAGCTCAGCCCAGCTCCAGGCCCCTCCCAAGCCTCCCTCACAATGTAGAAACTCGACCCAAATTCTAACATTCATGGCCTGTGATCTTCTAGGTATCTAGCTGGCTTCTTCATTTGTTGGCATGTTCAAGAACTAAATTTTCTTCTCCACATCAAAAATAACTAAATGAATTTTTGGGAGAGTCTGATGCCTAGTTTTTTAGATAAGGAGAAAATAAAATAAAAATAAATTAACAAAATTTTTACTTGGGCCTTGGCCAGTGTTGTTCAGTGGTTAGAGCATTGGCCTGTGCACCAAAGGGCCACCAGTTTGATTTCCGGTCAAGGGCACATACCTAGGTTGCAGGTTTGATCCCCAACCCTGGTCAGTACATGTGTGGGAGGCAACCAATCAATGTGTCTCTCTCACATCACTGTTTCTCCAACCTCCCCCCCCCCCCCCCCAGCCCCACTACCACATTCTCTAAAAATCAATGGAAAAAAATATCTTTGGGTGAAGACTAGCAAAAAAAAAAAATTCTCACTTTGAGTTTTAAAATGCGTAACTATATTATAACAAGTTACCATCCCAAGAAATTACCATTTCTCCTCCTGTTTCATCTCCTGTGTTTTGAAGAGACATAGTTCACTCGACCTCAGGCTGTATTAAAACTTATGAAACAGGTCAGTCTTCCCTCCTCCATTACCTTACCTCCCCTCCTCTCCTCTCCTTCCCCTCCTCAAGCTACCCCATTTCCTCTTAATCTTTGACCCTAAGCCCCCAAAATGAACATGTTAGCTCAATTTCAAGCTAAGGGACCCCACAGGAGAATGATGTTTCATGCAAATTCCCTACTTTTTGTGCCTGAACTTAAGAAACACAGCAGAAACCTGCTCAAAGCTAATCCAGCCATTGGACAGAAGTCATTTCTAAGGTCCCAGGGTCTTATATCTGCAATTTGGAATGAGATGTAATGTTCTCATTCCTCCAGACCCCTTTGATCTGGAATCTGTAACCTTTTAACAAAGATTGGGCTAAAGGTTACTGTTACATCTATGAAAATAATGTCTTAAGGAATTTAATGGAACTAATTATAAATAAATCCTGGCTATTAATTAATTGGGGAACTATCTCTTGAAAGCACAGTTTTATTGACTCGATTTGAAAATAATGAGACTACATTGCTTTGGATACATTCTCCTATTTTAAAAGCTCAATAATTCAAATGGACCTTTTTTCTAAATTAGCCCCAATTCATAAGGCTTTGCCAACCTAATTATGCAGCACTGAGATTTTCAAATCAATTTCTAATGGGAAATTTTGAATTCTGGGAGAGACTCTAATGAAAATTCTACTCAGTGATCAACTCCCAAAATGGCTCTGAAGACTGAATGGCTCATGAGCAACTGACTTAAACAAAGGGAGAATCAAGTATATTAACCAGTGTCCCTGCCTCCCTCCCATATGTCTTCATGATGATCAAGAAACCTACTAGCCTCGTTTCCCCAAATCACAGGATATTTGGGGCCTGATTCAACTGAGGTTTACTTAAGAGAAGAAGTCGTGTAGAATAAAGCTAGATTTCTCAGCTTCTGCCTTTATCTCAGTTCAGAATCCTGTTTCTAGGGCTGACTCAATGCTAAAATCAGAAAGAAGGCGTCCTAGGGTGGTTATGAAGATTATTTAATGTGAGGACAAAGTTATCTTGGAAAAAAAACAAGAGTATCTCAAATGAAACATAGTTTTTAAGTGTGGCCAAAGATTTAAAAAAAAAAAAAAAAAGAAGAACACTTCACATATTGTTTATTCAAACTTGTCATTGAAAAATAGTTCTACCCGCCCTGGCCGGTTTGGCTCAGCAGTTAGAGCATCCGCCTGCGGTCCGGAGAGACCCGGGTTCGGTTCCCGCTAAGGGCACGTACCTCGGTTGCAGTTTGTCCCCGGCCCTGGTTGGTCGTGCCGGTGGCAGCCACTCGATGTGTCCCTTTCACATTGATGTTTCCGTCTCTCTCTCTTCCTCTCTCTCCCTCCCACTCTGTCTGTACAAAAAATGGAAAAATGTCCTCGGATGAAGATAAAAAAAAAAAAAGAAAAGAAAAAGAAAAATAGTTCTACCCAATACTTGGAAATGTGTGTAGGGAGAATCATTTTTGCCCTATTTTGCCTTGAAGACAGTGGAGATCTGTTTGTATCTTTTGTAGAACGAATGTTGATACTGCTCCACAATGAGTCTTTTTTGAAGCAAGACTGAAAACTTTTTTAACAGTTGCCCAAATATTGAAGTAGGAGGGTGACACTTAGCATCATTTCGGATTATTAAGAAATGGATCCATTGCACATATGCATGAACAATGGACATGGACAACAAAGATGGGGACAGGGCGGGGGGGGAGGGTATCAGTGGGGGTAAAAGAAGAAACATCTGTAACAAAAATAAATTAATTAATTTTTTAATAATTAGTTAATTTTTGGAAGGAAGGAAAAGAAAAGAAAAGAAAAGAAGAGAAGAGAAGAGAAGAGAAAAGAAAAGAAAAGAAAAGAAAAGAAAAGAAAAGAAAAGAAAAGAAAAGAAAAGAAAAGAGAGGAATCCAGGTCTTCTCAAAATGCAGGGAAACACATTTAATGTTGATATATAAAAACAAAATCTTAACTCACCAATAAATTGTCAATGAAATACAGGGTTGGGGAAAAGTAGGTTTACAGTTGCGAGTATGCAAACACAAACTTTATGCTTATATTATTATTTAGTATTATATTCTTTTTCATACAAACAACTGTAAACCTACTCTTGCCCCACCCTGTATATGTCCTTATTCAGTAGCTGGGACATCTCTTTTGTCAGCTCACCTCAAAAAGATTTTTTTGTAAGTAGACTAAGTTAAATATTTTCTATCCTAGTTTACTTCTAGAACTTAATTTTGTCACTTTTTAAAGTTAAGAAACCTAGTATCTTTACTTTGACTTGAATAAAGTGGTTTCTTATCACGTGTCAAAATATACTTTTATCATAGCTTAGGGAAGGGCAACACTTTAAAAGGAATTTGGTCTATGAAGTGCCCAAGGAAAGTCGTCGGAGATAAGCCACAGAGAAGATGGCACAATGAGTAGCAGAGCCTGCTACCTCGACACTCTCTTCAAAAGAAGCAAAGTATAAAGTGTTGCATTGGTTCCATTTAAAAATTCACAGAGTCGCCTTTTGGGAGAAATTAATGTTACTCTTCTGCCTGATATATCACACTTCATTCTTTCCTTAATGTTGTCTGACCCTTCAGTATGCTCCCCGCCCCCAGAACCTGAGTCAGCATCAGAGTATGGGTGAGAAAAGGGTCTCCCGACTACAGATAGAGCAACAATTATTCTGGGCTCATAGCAGCAGGTCCACATCCTCATTGGCTGCCCTGGACATTGGTATCTCCACCTCTAGGGAAACTCTGTCTCCTCCAGGAGGAGGTGTGCTACCCGGCCCCTCTTCTTCCTGTCTCTGCCATATGTCTTCTTGCCTGGAATTTTCTGTTTTCTTTTCCCTCCAGGCAGGGGTAAGCCTTGAGGGGTGGATTGGACAGAGGGTAACAGAGGTGAGGAGGGAGGTTCATAGGAAGTTTATTTTTCACTCTGGCATGCCCTGACATTCATGCTTTGGTAGGATTTCGCCCATCTTGAAGACCCAGGGAAACATGGCCAACCTGCCGAACCCCACGTGTGATCTGGTGAATCTTGTAGCAGCATATCAACAGCCTAACATCCTTCAAACTAATGGGCCCAAGTGTTTAAGGATGCAAAACTTAAAGACAATGTGACAGTGTTTCTGTTAGAACTTGAACAATAGAAATGATGGTTTTGCACACATGCCCCAAAGTCAAGTCCATTCGTTTCAGTTATTGTTCTCATTTTCCCACTTTGCCCAGTATAAATCCCACCTTTGCCCTTTTCTTTGTGAGGCAGAGCTCTTGTGTCTGGGTGAGAAATGTGCAAGTGGCGTATGTACATAATCAAAGCCAAGAAAAGTTAAACAGATTCATTAAAATGTGGGCGTAATCTAGGTCAACTGGTATTTCAGTCCTCTCATTTATGTAGCCAAGTTAGAGGTCCCCCTTAAGCTTTAGTTGACAACATCCTTTAAAATGTGTTTTGCCTTGCTATTCTACTGAAGTGAAAGGGGTTTTTTGTTTGTTTTTTCTTTCCTTTTTTTTGAGGGGTGGGTGGGAGGGGACTATTTATCATCTGTTCATGTAACATATTTAAATAATACAGTAAAATTGGATTCAGTTTATAGCCTATAGGTTATTAAGTAAACAAAATTTGGAGCCCAATTCTTGAGTTCCAGCCCAGGTCCAGTGTGTACTTACCATGTGATTTTGGACAAGTGATTTAACCTGTCTGAGGCTTAGTTTTTTAAGCCCCACAAGGGAGATCTTGAGTATCTACTTCATCGGCTTGAAAAAGACATAGAAAATATGTGTACAGCACTTTGCAATGTGCCCCTCACAATAAGTGCTGTCTGCTATTATCAAGTCCTAACAATACAGAAATGTATTTGCTAACACTTAAGTATTATGTCCAGAAGGGTTCTAGTATAACACCCTTGAGAGTGTTATATGAGTCACCTAAGCCTGGAACTAAATGGTATCCTCAGAAAACTTTACAATGGCATTCTCTCAGGCCTCAAGGAAGGGAGAAGCACATTGAACTTTGGGGTGCATGTCTACAGATACTGAAGAAAAAGAGTGTGATGAAGGGAAAAACCCCAATGCAATGAGCTAGGGGAAACAATGGAAGAGAACCAGACATTTTCTACTCCCCAAGTACTGTTGTTTGAAGGACTGTCTGAGCTGGTCATGACCATCTCCAGCATCAAAAACAAGAATTAAACTAAATATCTAAGGGCAGTTATCCTCACTTAATTACTAAATGATTAAATTATGACAACAAAGTATTGCCAAGTATCCAACTCTTTTATTCTCCAGTATAAAGTACAGCAAATCTCTTCATAGCTTAATTTAGCAGCACAATTATGACACTCTATGAAATGAAATACTATAATTTATTTATATTACTCAATGTTTAGAAAAATGTAAGCAAACACTAGATTGTTCCATTAGCCTCCTTTCCTCGAATAAATGCCAAAAAAGATGTTAACTCTGGAGTCTTGTGACATCTTCGTCAGCTGATTTAGAATTCTTTAGATTCACTTTGATTCAGCTGTTCCTATATTTGAATAAGTAGAGCTACAGGCCCATACAGAGGTAAGGTCCGACACAATCCATCACAGTTATGTGGACAGAAAATTCTGGAGTCATGTATTTCTAGAATATATGAAACTGTTGTCTTGGGTCTTTCTTCCCCATGTAGGGTTTCTTTAGAAGAACCATTCAGAAAAATCTCCATCCATCCTATTCCTGTAAATATGAAGGAAAATGTGTCATAGACAAAGTTACACGAAACCAGTGCCAGGAATGTCGCTTTAAAAAATGCATCTATGTTGGCATGGCAACAGACTGTAAGTAATCCTCTTCCTTTGCTTTATATTCAAGGGATGTTGATTGGGGAAAGGTTTGGTTCAAGGAGATCAGCCAGGCAGAAAAGCAAGCAGGAACCCATGTGGACAGAGGGAAGATACGTACCATTCCCACAGTCATTGCTGGGTGGTTTGCAGCCTACCTCTCCTTTATCAACACCTAACTCAAGCCATCCAGCTGATGGATGAGGGAAAGTGGTTAAATTATCCCTGTCATGTCTGCAAGACGGTTAGCAATACTCTGTCTGCAAAGGGATTACAAATGGGAGGCCTTGTCCATTCACCTTGGTAAGATCTAATTTTACACACAACATTCATGTGGCAAGGGCCTCGTGGACAAGTCCTACTCTTTTTTCAAAAGCAGAGCCAGGAATTTATTTTGTGGCCATTTTTGGAGACGGGGCACTGGCAGAAAACATCGTGATCAGAAATTTCGGAAGAATGTGAAGCTGAGTGCTATTACATGAGTCACCCTGCTGGTGGTTAGTTGGTATATTTTTAGCCCTAAAAACATTCCAAAGTGAAGTCTTCCTACCCAGTTTTCCAAGCGCCACAGCATATGGCGGTGAGATTAGCTGCTGTTCAGGTCTCTTCTCCACACTGTGGAAGGGGTTTACACCAGCCGCTTCGATTAATCCAATAATAAAATAAGAATTGTGTCATTCTGACTGTGTGGACTTTCTTTGGCCAACCATCAGGGTTAATGATCTCTCCTGGCATAAACTTTTTGCACATCAATGAAGGATTCCAGCCTTTAGTTTATAAAAAGGAAGGGAAGGGAAGGGAAGGGAAGGGAAGGGAAGGGAAGGGAAGGGAAGGGAAGGGAAGGGAAGGGAAGGGAAGGGAAGGGAAGGGAAGGGAAGGGAAGGGAAGGGAAGGGAAGGGAAGGGAAGGGAAGGGAAGGGAAGGGAAGGGAAGGGGAATGCATCAAGGATTTTTTTCTCATGAAAGAGGAAATAACCATGGTTTGTGTTTATGTGACTAATGGGGTTCTCTCTGCTAGAACAAAAATATCTGTGGAATGTCCTGGTTTGCCTATTAAAGAAGACGGAATGGGGAGTCTTAAAAAGGAGGAAGGTTGTGTTAGGGTATTGGGCTGGAAGTCCCGGGTTAATCCCACCTTGGGCTGAGCGTGTTCTTTGTCTTGATCTTTTAAAGGCTTTTAGTCATTGCCAACAACATGCCTGACAAGGGTACGTGGAAATGCCTGACCCAGAACCACTTAGATGTGTCACTATAACGAAGTTATTATTAAGTATCCATTTCATTGTTTTACTGAGAATTTAAAGATAGGAATGTTTATGAGGTCAAAAACTCAGTGTTAATCTGGACCAGGTCGGAATTCATTTTGAGTGCCATATTTGTTTGTGAGGTATCTTTATAGGAGCTCAGGCCTTAGAATCAGAAAAACTGTTGGAGTCCCAGATCTGCCACTTACTAGCTGTGTGACCATAAAGCTTATTTCTGGTTTCCCTTCCATGAAATGATCACCTATTTCACAGGTTGTTTTCAGAATTAGATTAGATAATGCACGTCAGATGCGATCATCCCTGGCACCGTAGATGCATTTGGTAAATGGGGTTATAAGTAAAGCCCACTTCCTCTTCTCCGTTTAGTGAATGAACTGCAATAACTCAGCAGGGCTCGTTCATATTTCCCGCCCTTGTCAGTGCTCACCTGATGCTGATGATCTGATCAAATCGAGGTGATCTGGGTTTCAGTATTCTGTTTGCGGACCAGCCGAGCACCTCTGGTTCTCTTCTTCCTGCTATGTTTGCTTTTTTTCTTTTCCTACCAGGTTACACTTTCATCAAGAAATGACCCTAGGACAATGATGTTGTAGGACTGGAGTCAGGAGTTTGGGGTCTTGCCTTGGCCCTGCCATGAACTTGCTGTGTGACTTTAGGCAAGTCATGATCTCTCTGGATCAACTTCCTCCTCTGTGAAAGGAGAGAGTTGGACTAGATATCTAGGCCCTTCTTGTCCTAAAAGACTAAGATTCTGTGGTGTGAATCCTTAGCCTTTTCATTCCACTGATAGTTACTAAGAGTCTGGTGAAATGACTTGGTTTAGGACATTAACCACAGAACTATAGATTTCCTATCACCGGCCCTTCTTGTTCCCTTCTGCATAAGTGATCAAAGTCATGGCTGCATTGACTGAGCACTTTAGTGCATTGTCACATTAACTACCTGTGAAGCGGATATTATTGACCCCACTTTACATGGAAGAAATGTAAGCTCAGGGAGCCTAAGTAACTTGTCAGAGGTCACACAGCCAGAAAGTGGGAGTATCAGAATTCCAACCCGGATCCTAAGCCTGGGCTCCTTTGCCACAGTAAGGGTTGACCAGGTAGAGAGTAATGCAAAGTGAGTACCTGTGGCACCCAGGATCGGCCCAGCCACATTCCAGTTACTCCTTCAGGGAGCTAATGAAGAGTTGGAGGGAGGGATCACCAGCCTCCCATTCACTGCCACAGAACTTCTCCCACCTCCTTACTCAGAGCCTCTTGGAGGGAGGAGGGGGTCAGAGAAGCCATGAGAGTGAAGTCTGATGATTGGCCAGACCGACTCCTCTGGGACCGGTGGGTAGGGTAGGTTTGTCCTCTCCCTGCTTCTCATTTAGGGCCACCTTTTGTGAACTCCAGATGCCTGGTGTCCAGAACCCCGAGGTTCTGTTTTGAAAAGAGCTAGGCACTGAGGTCTGGCACCCGGGCACATGTTAGACAATGACTAGTCAATGACAATATGCGACCAAGGGGGAAAACGCCCCAGTGTGACCCACCTGGAGGCCCCCCACGCCATCTGCGTGTCGGCGGCCCTGGGACATGCAGTCTGCCGTGTGTCTGGCAGTACCTGGCCAGGCTCCGTGTGTCAGGGAGTCCCTGGCCAGGCTGCTGTGTGTCAGGGAGTACCTGGCCAGGCTGCCGTGTGTCGGGGAGTCCCTGGCCAAGCTGCCGTGTGTCTAGGAGTACCTGGCCAGGCTGCCGTGTGTCAGGGGGTCCCTGGCCAGGCTGCCGTGTGTCGGGGAGTCCCTGGCCAGGCTGCCATGTGTCGGGGAGTACCTGGCCAGGCTCCGTGTGTCAGGCAGTACCTGTGTTCTCTCCCCCTCTCCCAGTGGTGCTGGATGACAGCAAGCGGCTGGCGAAACGGAAGCTGATTGAGGAGAACCGGGAGAAGAGGCGGCGGGAGGAGCTGCAGAAATCCATCGGGCACAAGCCAGAGCCCACCGATGAGGAGTGGGAGCTCATCAAGACAGTCACTGAAGCCCACGTGGCCACCAATGCCCAAGGCAGCCACTGGAAGCAGAAACGGAAATTCCTGGTGAGGCTCCCGGGCACAGCTGGACGGCAGCTGCCCGCTCTCTACCTCACTCCCTTAGTCCTCACCGCCCTGGGGTGCCGGGTGACCGCCCCGGTGACCGCCTGGGTGACCCGCCCACCTGCCGAGAAGGACACAGCAGCTCTGGGAAGTCGGGTGCTTGTAGAGCCAGGTCGGAGTCTAGGTCTGTCTGAGAATAAAGGTCACCCCTGTCGTCCACTGTTTGCGGGCCACTGTGTTCCAGATCAGTTTCTAAGGCCATATAATCTGCCCTGGCCAGTTTGGCTCAGCGGTTAGAGTATTGGCCTGCAGTCCTGAGAGACCCGGGTTCGGTTCCCGCTAGGGGCATGTACCTCGGTTGCGATTTGTCCCCGGCCCTGGTCGGTCGTGCGGGTGGCAGCCACTCGATGTGTCCCTTTCACATCGATGTTTCTCTCTCTCTCTCTCTCTGTTCCTCTCTCCCTCCCACTCTACCTGAACAAAAAAAATGGAAAAAAAAAGTCCTCAGGTGAGGACAAAAAAAAAAAAAAAGACCATATAATCTATTTGCTTTTATTAGTAAGGTCATCTGTGGATTAATTAGTAAAATTATTTACTGCAGGCCTTCCCTTTTTATACTCATTTCTTCCCTCAGAGGCCCATATATATACATACTTAGTCCACTAAACCCGCTCCAAAATATTCCCTTTAGAATAACCCCTAGAACAAAGTGCCCCGTATCTCAAATGCATTTTTATGTCAGCAGAAGTCAAAAGGTTTCACTTAAAATAAATTATCGCAAGTCCAGGAAGACAATGGATGGGACAGTAAGGCCGGGGGCTAGGAGGGGGCAGAGAGAGAAAACAGGCCTTTCAAGACCCTTGTTTGAATGTCGATGTTTGATGTGTTTTATAAAAACTAACCATTGTGAAAGTCCTTCCCATTTTTGTCTCCTTTGGCCTTCACAATGCTTTGAGGCTGTGATTACAATCTCTGTTGTATAGATATGCAAACCAAACTCACAGCCTCAAGTGGCTCACCCAACATCATGTTACCACAGTGTCTGAGCCAGGCCCACAGGCCAGCTCAGGTCTCTGGTTCCAAATGCAGGCCCTCCACCCACCTCACCAGATGGACCACCCATCCCACCACCAGTTGGTGTTTGACCGTCACAGAGACTGACCCTGCTTTTGGTTTATAACACGAACCCTTTAGGAGTATTTCACTGAGCCCTGCATCAGACATGCTGTTGGTTTATGTGTGTCTCCAGGGTCCAGTAGAGTACCTTCCCACCCGAACGAGAAGGTAGAGTGGTATAATGTCCTTGTACTCAACATCACCATTATAATGGGATTTTGTGTGTGTGTGTGTGTGTGTGTGTGTGTGTTGAAAACAGTATAACAACCTTAAAGGAAGTTTGGCTTGGGGGGGGGGGCTTACCCATAATCCACCTGCTTCCAAACAATTACTTTCATTGCTGTAATGAGCAGGTTCTAACACACTTTGTTGATGGCTTCCACCAACAATAATGTTAGCAAACATGCTACATGGCCCTCACCAACGGGCAGGTGCTGTTGTCAGTGCTTTCCATACCTTAGCTCCCTGTCCCAACCCTGTGGATAGATGTGGTGAATATCTCCATTTGACAGAGGAAGGAACAAGGCAGAGAAGCTGAGAACCCTTACCTGAGCTCCTGCAGCTAGTAAGCTGTGGTGATAGATGCAGCCGAGCTCCAGGATCCATGCTCTCAACCGCTGCTCTATGCAACTTGGCCACCTGCACACACCCGAAGAGCCTTGAAAGGACATGCCTCTGGAGGGGCAGCCTCGTAGCCCCACCCGGGTATATCTGCCAGACAATTAGAAAACACTAATTATGGATAGTTAGATCAATTCTAACCCAATATATTTGGAGCATAGCAAGATAGAATTCTTCCTAACCCCCAGCCTAAATCTGTCCTATAACCCAATGTGTTAGCCATAAGTGGACATTGTAAAAACGACGTCCAGGCCTGGCACTGCCATCTGATTTCAGAGTAGTGATCAAGCTGAATTTCAAGGTAGGTGGAAGATTTGGGGCACATCCTGGTCTTCTGGAAAATCCTACACTTCTATTTTCTGTAATCTCAAAAGAGACTGGATACTAGTCTAACTAACCAACTCAGTGGTCATTAAGGTGCTTCCTCCCAGACTTCAAGAGTTGTCCTATTATTATGAAAACATGTATTGAGCAGCTGCTATGTGCCAGGAGGTAGAAACACTCAGCCATATTCCAGTGGAGACAGACAGTAATGTTGAAAGGGGCAGATCAACGCAGGTAGTGGTAAGTGCAGGGAGGGAAACAAACACCGTGATGGGACAAAGTGACTGTGAGTTGGAAGTAGGAGAGACTTCACTTCTTTAAACAGATAGGTCAGAAAGGATCTCTTTGAGGAGGTAATATTTGAGCTACGTCAGAAAGCTCAGAAACCAACACTCTATAAGGTAAAATAGAATCAGACCTCGTCATGCCTCATAGTCTTTTCAGCAAAGATAACACAATTTCCAGTCATTAAAACCAGCAAGGTCTGCACCTTTAACCCGAAGTCTCTTAACAGTTTTCATCAGTCTGATCATCTACTGAAAGAGGCAGGTATGGCACAGAATGACTTGCATTACTTTTTGTCAGGGCCTTGAGGTTATCAAGGCACGAGAGTTTTTTTCAGGAGGGTAACGGTTACGGAGCAGCTGTCTTACCCACCAGTCTCCATTGCCCCTGTGCAGCTGACATGAAATGTATATTTTGTAGATGCTTGATCTGTTCAAGAGATTGCCCCTCTTGATCCAAATACAAACAACCACTTCTTCAGGCCATTTTTTTTTATTATTATTATTAGCTGGGTGCTGGGAGAGATTGGATGCTCCCATTGTCCCATCTGTCTCTACAATGAACTTCTTTTCTATCAGCCAATCCCGTCTATGCCCGGGGTCACCCCTGCATCCCCTCAGAGGAAGGTGTATGTTCCCTGCAGCACTGTCCCCAGTGTCTAGCACATGGGTGTTTGGAATTTGTGGCAGCTCTTCTCCAAGGCGACTGCCATTAGACTCGTTCCTCTTTGCGCACACAGCCGATTCTCTCCCATGAAGCAGCAAAGTTTATGTCTCTCTGCCCTGGAATCTGCTTTGTGATTCCTTTAAACAATGGATTGGGCCAGAGTGACTACTCAGGTTCAGTCATAAGAAGCCTTGTAGTTTCCGTTTGGTTATCTTGGAGGGGGAGCCACCTGGTCTCCCCGAGAGAAGCTAACGGCCATGTTAGAAAAAGTCCACCCACCCTGAGAACAGCCATGCTGTGAGGACGCCCAGGCTGGCCATGTGAAGAGGCCATGGAGAGAGATGCTCAATCCAGGCGCCAGAAAAGCGATCCCTGTCTGAGGGCCCCCAGTGAAAACTATCCGGCTGAGACCATCAGTCCCCACAACTGAGAGAGTAACACTGTATTGTTTTTAAGCCACGACATTTTGGGGTAGTTTGTTACACAGCAATCGATAACCAAAACAGAACTCAAATATTTATTCAACAGAACATACAGTTCCACCAGCCCATCCTCAGAGACAGTACAGTTAAGCCCTGTGTCTCAGCCAGGCTACAAATGCATATTTACAAATACCCCTTGCAGAAGGATGACCTCAATTGAGTTTTTATGCTCAGGAGGAAAATTTTACTCTTTTGGTGGGTGGATTATTCCTGCAAGGATATCAGAAATCCTCCATTAAAGACACTTTGCTAAATGGTACCCATGTCCTGAATAAGCTTCTACACATTAAGATTGGTGCCTCCTGTGTAGCTGAAATCCCCCCCCCCTTTTTTTTTTGGCTTGCAACACAGCTATGCATGTTATTTCATGTGATGATGGCCCATCTTGTCTGAAATATAATTTGAGGAGGCCTAATATGTTAATAATAGTATAGGAATATGTCATGCGGGATTAAAATATGTTGTCATAAAAGCCAGAAGTATTCATTTCTCTGCAATGGGTAAGTAATTTACTCCCCAAATGGAGCTTCTTCATCATTTTCTATCCTGAGACCAGGACTCAAGTCAGAAATAGAGGCTGGTGGCTTGCCCAGGGTTTCCACATTTGTGCTGAGGAATAAGTCATTGACAAATGGGCACTTTTGCAAAAGCCATGCCGATTTTCATAATTCCCAAGCCACTGTGTAAAACTGTTTCCAAAAGCACTTCCGTCACGTAATTTTCTGGTTTTCTCCAATCCACTCAAAACTCTGATGGTACAGAAGTGCCCGAGGTAATCACCAACAGTTTGCATGTGATGACAGTGGAGATGAAAAGTAGATGTGGACCGAGACGGGAACAAGAAGCCTGTGGTGCCAAACGAGGGGAAGCAGTACCTCCCCTCCAAGGGTAACCCGCCTTTTCACCTCCTGGGGCCGGGGAGACGCAGCAGCAACATTCTTGTCTGTTGACATTGTGTTGTTCTGAACCCTTAGTCCACATGCAAAGGGATGGCTTTGGACGGATTTTCACCCCAGTGCCAGCCTGCCCTGCTTTTCCCCTGGCAGAGCTACTGTCTGATTTCCCACATTCTCGATTGGAATAGCCTCAGAAAAGGCACATGAGCAAAAATTTCAGGCAGGATGGATGACTTGGCCATGTGTGACCTGGGTGGACAGGTCGTAAGACAAGGGCAATCAGCCCTGCCAGTGTGGCTCAGTGGATTAAGTGTCATCCCATGGCCTGAGAGGTCCCGGTTCAATTCCAGGTCAGGGCACATGCCCAGGTTACAGGCTCGATCCCCAGTAGGGGGCGTGCAGGAGGCAGCCGATCGATGTTTCTCTCTCACATCGATGTTTCTATCTCTCTCCTTCCTCTCTGAAAAATCAATAAAAACATATTTTTTTTTAAAAGACAGGTCAAGAAGGATTCTATCACCCAAAATTATTATAGCTACAACAGAAGAAGACGGGGTAGTCTAGTAGCAGTGTGCATGGAGATTGGAACCGGACAGCCTGAGTTCAATGTTTGCCTCGGTTGCTTTTTAATTATGTGACTCTGGGCATATTACTTCACCTCTCTAAGGTTCAGCAGCCTGTATGCCCTTACCAACTGATATAAGTAACAGATATAAGTGCTTGGCATATCATTAACAACCACATAAATGGTTACTATGTCCATCCATCATCACCACCACCACCACCCTCACCATCCTGTCCCTGCTCATCCCAGAAAAAAGGTGAGCCTGTGGTAATGTCCTAAGGCCCAGGGATCCTTAATCACCATTTGTCCGGGTCTTCCTGCCCATGATCATGCAGAGGAAGAGAGAGTTGGGTCTGTTTGTACCCCACCTGCATGTGCCAGGGAGCTGCTGCTTGGAGGAGAGAAGCCCTCAACTCTGAGCCCGCCACTTGCAGCGAGGTCAGCTGGCACCATTCCCTGCTCACCGGAGCAATGCTGATGAAACAGTCCAGGCACAAAGCCAGTTAGTCTTGATTTGCGTAAAACCAGCCTCCTCGCCCTGGCCGGTTTGACTCAGTGGTTAGAGCATCGGCCCCCAGACCAAAGAGTCATGGGTTCGATTCTAGTCAAGAGCACGTACCTCAGTTGCAGGTCAGGCCCCAGCCCTGGTTAGGGTCGTGAGGGAGGCAGCCAGTCAATGTGTCTCTCTCACATCGATGTTTCTCTCCCCCTCTCTTCCTCCCTCCCTCCCTCCTACTCTGACTGAAGATAAATGGAAAAAGTATCCTCGGGTGAGAATTTAAAAACAAAACAAGCAGCCTCCTTCAGTGCCGAGCTAGGGTTGAAGCCCACACCTGCACACATGCCTGAATCTCTCCTTTGGTACCTGATATGTTAACTCAGATCAGTCATAGATGATATATATTTCTTTCTAGTAGCTAAGATCCATCAAGGAGATAAACCTTAATGACATAAGAGAAGGCTTCTACTTTGTATATGGTTTTACTTCCAGCAATTTTATTTGCCATTAGATACCCAGAGGCTTAAAAGTAAATCTTTTGCCCTGGCCAGTATGCTCAGTGGTTAGAGCATCGGCCCACGGACCAATGAGTCTCGGGTTCGATTCTGGTCAAGGGCACGTACCTCAGTTGTGGTTCATCCCAGGCCCTGGTCAGGTTGTGTGGGAGGCAACCAATCAATGTATGTCTCTCACACCGATACTGCTCTCTCCCTCTCTCTCTTTCCCTCTCTCTCCCTCCCTCCCATTCTACCTGATGATACATAGAAAAATATCCTCGGGTGAGAATTTTTTTAAAAACTCAGCCTTTTTTCAACCCTGATATTTATTTTCCACAGAAAAGCTGTGGGGTTGTTACATTTGGGAGTTTGATTTTCATTGTTTATGACCTGGTGTAATTTCCCTCCTTTCTTCTTATCTTTAGGGTGTCACAGGGGTGATTCAAATACCCCACAAACATGGAAATTAACAATTAACATCAGCATTAACCCACTGACATTTCGAAAGACACTGATACCATTTAGATACCATTAGACTAGATCCAGCAGTGTTCAATGAGAAGGTATTTGGGTTCAACCAGAACAAGAGTGCGTGTATCTGTACGTCTGTGTGTGCATGTGTGTGTGTATAAAACCCCCTACCTTTTTGAGTGTGTGCTCACCTTCCTTTTATCAGTTGATCGTTATAACAGTTGCAAAGTAGACAAGGCAGGTGAGATGAGCCTCATTTTCACGGTGAGAGGAACTAGAAAGACCAGCCAGGAGGTCTGAAAATGTCAAGCAGCAGCAGTGGTCGAAGGAGGGACTGATGTACCTTTTCCTTAGCTCAGTCTCCGTGAGAAAGAGAAAGAGAAGGATGCTGGGCACGGGGTCGATCCAGCCATTCCATCTGCATCCGGAGAGCCGGCAGAACACAGCTTCCGCGGGCTGGCCATGCTCGCAGTCGCCCCAAAACATCGCCATTGGTTATGAAAACACGACAAAAACCAGACTTCTTTCCCATGTACTCCCTGCTCCCAAAACAAACAATGAAAAAGTAAAATAAAATAAACAGAATACCTGCTGGATAATCCCCCCAAAAAGGTCCATGCTACCAGCTTGTCATGTAATGTACTCCGCAGTCCTCCCGAGGTTGACCCCACGGCTCCTGATGCACCCTTGGAGGGCATGGGCTGCTCCTCTTGGCCCTGGTGCCTTGGAAACCAGAGAGTAAAGGGGTAATACTTCGCTTTTCTTTCTGCTAAAAATTAGCTGTGGAGAGTAACAGGCGAGATGTGGGAAGAAATATGGTAACCGGATTCCCCTGAGCTGGACACGGTTACTGCTAGCCCCGCAGTTCTCGGAGAGGGGTCCCCGGACCACAGCATCAGCATGCCCTGGGAACGAGTGGGAATGCAGGTGCCCAGGCTCCACCCCCCACCTACCGAATCAGAGAGTCTGGGGTGGGACCCAGCTGGCGGGTGACTCTGATACACGATTGAAACTGAGCACTGTGGTGCCAGTGGGGCCACCGGCAGTGCCCCCACCTCTGCCAATGAGGGACTGCGCCTCGCTCACCTCTTTCACAGTACCGGTTCCTCCTGCCCATCTCCCCCTCCCCCCCCCCCCCCAGCTGCTTGCTCCGGACTGTTCACTGTGGCTCTAGACAAAGGCGGCCACCATCCAGCAGGGCCTTTGTCTCTTGTTTATACTTTGCTGGAAGACAGCGGGAGGGGCCCACAAAAGGAATGTGAAGAGGAGCAAATATTCTGTCCCCTGGTGTCAAAGTGCGCAGGGTGTCGAAGCCTCAAGGTGGGGGGAGATATGAGGTTCCTGGCAGGTTACCGTGTGGTACCCTGGCCTCGGGGGATTGTTCTTGACCTCCCTGAATCCATGTTTGCTCATCAGCCGGTAGGGATTGTACAAGAGCCCAAGGGGCTGGCTCACTGGTAGGCACAGATAAGTGGTAGTTATCATCACAAAGAAAGAAAGGGTGATGGAGAGGCCTGTTTCTGGCAAAGCACTGGTGACAACAGGAGGTACACAGGCGGCCACACCGCCGTGGCAGTCACTGAATGGCAGCTAGGGAGCTCGGCAGCTCCTACGGACACTGGGAGCCTGATGCCAACACAGCCGTCTGGGGGCTTGCTGCAACGCTGATTCTGCAGGATTAGGTCTGAGGGAGCTAAGAGTCTGCATTTCTAAGAAGTGCCCTGGTGACGCCCTGATGCTACACCAGCCTTGGAGCAGCCAGAGCACGGACTGGGCTTAGGCAAGTGAACAGCAGAGCAGTGCCCTCGGGACATGAAGTACTGGTAAAATCCCACTCTGCCTGAAGGTTTGCCCAGTTTGCACAGCTCCGTTCCTACAGGCCGCCTAGTCGTCCCTCAGCCTGCTGTGACCTCCTCCAACTGGAGTCTGTAGGCAGACAGGATGCTGGGCCCCAGCAGCTGGAGGCAGGAGTGAATCCACAGGGTGCTGTCTGCGGGGCTACCCCCTCCCCGCCCCCCGCACCCTCTCCCTCGCTGCCCACACTGAGCCCACTTTGCACGCACACAAGCACAAGGCCTAGAATGTATGTCTCCTGTGTGCATTCAGAAGAAGAACCCAGAGTCCTCTTGTCTCTCCCTCTCTCCCTCTCTCTCTCCCTCCCCCTCCCTCCCTCCCTCCCTCTCTCTCCCTCTCCCCCCTCCCTCCCTCCCTCCCTCCCTCTCTCCCTCCCTCCCTCCCTCCCTGTCCCTCTCCCCCTTCCCTCCCTCCCTCCCTCTCTCCCTCCCTCCCTCGCTCCCTCCCTCCCTCTCTCCCTCCCTCCCTCTCTCCCTCCCTCCCTCTCTCCCCCTCCCTCCCTCCCTCCCTCCCTCCCTCCCTCCCTCCCTCTCTCCCTCCCTCTCTCTCTCCCTCCCTCCCTCTCTCCCTCCCTCTCTCTCTCCCCCTCCCTCCCTCTCTCCCTCCCTCCCTCCCTCCCTCCCTCCCTCTCTCTCCCTCCCTTCCCCTCTCTCTCTTTGTCTCTCTCTCCCCCTCTCTCCCTCCCTCTCTTTTTCTCTCCCTCCTCTCTCTCTCTCTCCTCTCTCTCTCTCTCTCTCTCTCTCTCTCTTTCTCTCGCTCTCCAGCAACAATTCTGTGAACAGTATCACTGGGGGCCTATTGCAGCAATGGCCAAGACATACACCTTCGCTCAGAGACATAAATGGAAAACTCTACAGTTTGTTAATAAGCTGTGTGAAAATTGGAAAGTGTACGGGTTGGCAGTCCAGAAGAGATTTCTCCCACATCAGAACTAGAATAAATAAAAATCCCTTGAACATCGTCATTTAAGTCTTTCCGTCTCTCCTCCTTAGCCAGAAGATATTGGACAGGCACCAATAGTGAATGCCCCAGAAGGTGGAAAGGTCGACTTGGAAGCCTTCAGCCATTTTACAAAAATCATCACACCAGCAATTACCAGAGTGGTGGATTTTGCCAAAAAGTTGCCTATGTTTTGTGAGGTGAGGAAATGATTTTTTTCTTCTGCATTGTTTTTCCTTCTAGTTCCATCAATTTCCAGGAATACTGAGTATTATTTATGATTTAATATTAACTAGTAGGGATGGTCTTATGAAAGCAGTGTCAGTACAAAAATGAAAATGCACTCTGTCGCTTTTATTTCCCCACCCTCTCTACTCAGTCGTCATTCATTAGGTGTCCCCAAGAGCACAGTGAAGATCCTGTCCACCTACCCAATCCAGGCATAGGGAAAGATGACAGCAATACTCGCATGTATATGGTACCTACAATGTCCTAGTTACCATGTTCAAGTTTGCCCACATTAAATCCAGTCCTTACAACAGATCTGCAGGGTAGCTTTAATTAACCCCATTTTACAGATGTAGAACATTGAGGTCAAAGTGATTAACTTATCCCTGTGTGGAGCCATGATTTGAGTCTCAGTCTATATTCTTTCAACTATATATTCCAGCAAGATGGCTTTGTGGTTCCTTCTTAATTCTAAGGAATAGAGGATAACCCTCACAGAGCTTCCCTTAAATCCTCCCTCTTTCCTTAGAAACTCACCCTTTCTTGGCCCATATTCAAGGTCCTTGAGGAGCTCGCCCACCAGAGGTCACAGACTTGCCCAGTGGGACGCTCATGCCGGGTGTTAGCAGTTCTGCAGTGGTGTCTGAGAGCATGCGCTCTGCAGTCAGCTGCATGAGCAAGAATCCTGGAGAAGTTACTAAGTGCCTTAGTAAAAAGGCTTGCTTATCTCATCTTCAATGGGAATCATAGAAGAATCTACCCCTTCGAGCTGTTGGGAGGTCGAGGTGGGGTAGTTAGTGCTTGGATGGTGCCTGGGTCATAAGTTTCCCATAAATTTTAGCTGTTAGTACTATTATCATTTCATCCATGACATTACCATCCTGCCTCTACCTTCTTTTTTGAATCAAGTGGGGTTGGTTATGTTTTCTGGAGAAATTTTCCCTTTGAAAAACCACATCAGGTGCCAACCTATTGGTCTTCACATCTCCAAGGGGACCCAGAAAGATACCAGATAGAGAGGGCCACGTACTGCTGTGACCTCTCACCCAAGCCACCCGAGTGACAGGTGAATTTAGTCTCACCTAGAAAGAAGCTGAGTTTCCTCACCTGAATGATTCTGTCCCCCCTGACTTCCAGCCCATTTGTGTCCTTGAGTTTGTAATAATGAGAGCCTGCCTGGAGTCTGACAGACCTCAGACACGGGTGGGGACACTTCTCATTGCCTATGTCTGAGCCTCCACAGAAGCCATACCCAGGACAGAGCAGTGGGCTTCAGGGTGCAGGTGTCTGACCCCCTAGCCCCCACTGAGAGAGGGTGCCTCCCTCTTACCCCACATCGCTGTGCTGGGCCCGTGAGTCCCGGACAAGGGATCTGACTTGTGTGTGGAGTGATCCACGCCTCTGACCATCTTTTTTTTTTTAAATGAACATTTATTAAAGGTTTAGAGAATATTACAAAAATAATATATATTCATTGGAGATTTATACAGCATAGTAAGGTAAAGGTTCATGGTAACAAGAAACTGCTGACATTTTGGAGCCTATTTTAGTTTTTTTCAAATAAATATGTGTGCATACATATATGAGAAGCATAAAATATATTAATATAATTGATACCATAATATACTTTCTACTTATGAAACTACAATAATAACGTTATTATCATCATAAGCTTTCTACGGAAGAGTAAGGAGCACACATCCTAAGCATGCAGCCCAGTGACTTTTCACAGACTTAACACACCCACGTAATCAGCACCGAGATCAACAGAATGTCACCAGCCCCGCTGTGCCCGTTCATGCTCAACTGTAGAACGTTTCATTTCAGTCTTCTGTCACAAAATAATGTTTAATGACCACATAGTATTCAAAAGACTAGACCTACCGTATTTAGGTTATCTGCTTAAGTTCCTCTCCAGTTGTTTGCTAATATGAATATTCTGGAATAAACATTCTGGGGCCTAAGCCCTGCTCACCACACTGTTTCCTAAGAGCAAACCCGGAAATGGAATGAAAGGACCCAGCGTGTACACCGTTTAAGGCTTGTGATGCGTGTTGCCCAGTTGCCCTCAAGAAGGAACACACACTCTGACGTCTGTGCCAAAGGTGCTGGTTCTTCTCATTCAGGTGGCATCTTCTTTTTGGTTCATTGGGTTGAGTTCACTTTTCTGGACCTTTCTTGGTTCTCTCTCTGAGCTGGGTCCCTCGTCCCCCAGTCCTTGGTGTCTGAGGAGAAACTGTTGAGTTTGCTACCCTTACGACTTCCACTTAGCCCGTCCGTCGGTCACGTGTTCCCCTTCGAATGCCCACTGAAAATGTTTCTTGGAAGACTGAAGGCTCATGTAAACCAACCACTGAAGAGCTATTTCAGTTAAACAAAGAAAAGAAGCCACCTCCACCACCAATAACAAACACACTGTGCACTGTGTCCGTGGCAGGGATAAGGGGTGGACCTTTTCAAGTTTCCCTCAGAAATTAAAGCCAGCTTCAAAGTTATGATCCCATCTCTCTTTCAACGCTGGTATTTTGTAGTCTCTGTATTACCAAAAAAAAGGCCACTTGTACAGGAGAGATGAGTATGTTTCCGACGTTTGTGGCCTCCTGAGGACCTTTGACTTTCATGTTATCTATGGAACCCCAAATTGGGACGTGAATTGTGGGCCCCTGAGCTACCTATGGAGTGGGTTGGAGATCCCAGGTGGTCTCAAGAGAGACAGGTTTCTTGCCAGACACAAAGTGATGCATCTGCTGTTGAAATTGTGCTCACAGTAATTTTTTGCTATGATCCATGCCAACCCACCAAGCAAGGTTGGTGGGCACCCTGGGCATGGAATGAGCTAAAGTCGTTGCTGGCAGAGCGGCCAAGAACACACATAAGAACCTCTTCTGGAGTACAGGGCACTGTCGCCTTTGCCAGTCAACCTGAGCGATGCTCTCCTAAGGGGACAGGAAGAGCCTGTGGGAGGTTCCCTACATCTCTACCTGGCCTGCCCTTCCTGGAGCAATCTCCCAATGGAAGGATTTGGGCAAGTGACTAAGAGATTGTTTACCCACATGTTGAAACAGTCACCAGGTTCCTACAAACCTCTCTTCAAAGAAAAGGCATCTGGCCTCGTTTTTAAACCATTGGTGATCCCTGACCAATACTTGTTAAACTTATTTTAATTTGAACTAATCGACAGTATGTTTTTTTTAAAATAAATAAATAAATAAAAAACCGCTTCGTCTGTAATCAGACTTGGTTACAAATATGGGGCCTACCCAAGGTTGCATACTTTGTGACAAATAAAAAAATAATAGTAAGTCGCTTGCTCTGGTTAGTAATTTCTCTTTGGTATTTTGTGCCAACGTGGTTTTCAGGAGTGGAGACCCTGTACCAGCAGCAAGAGCATCACCTGGGAACTGGAAAAATGTACAAACTCGGAGGGTGGGGCCAGCCATGTGTGTGGTTTACAAGCCCTCAGGTAATCTTGATGGGGCTGAAGTCAGAACCACTGCCCCAGGTATAAGCCAGCCTCTGCCCACATCAGCCAATCTCTGTCGTACCTGTACCGGATCTATCCAGCCTCCAGTCTCCTCTTTCCCACCATGCTCTCGGGCCAGGAGTCCAAGCATGGAATTGAGGAATCAAATTAGAACCTAAATAAAAGCAAATCACAGTCATTTTTTTTTAATGAGTGGAAGGAATTTACATATATAGACTCCAGAACCAAATATGAAATGACTTTTATTCTGCAGAAAAAGCTAAGCAATTTGAAATTATATGGTAAAGTGACTAGGTTGAGTTGAAAAAAAAATGAAATGCCCAGTATTTTAAATGTAATTTAGTAGTATTACTTTTCGTTTTATATAATAACCTTAACTGAACTTTGGGTGTTGCCAAAAGTATTTCCCAAAAAGAATTTGTACGTGCTTAATGAAGAGATAGAAATTATGTGTAATTTCCATTTCCATTGTTTATGGGAACTTGGTCCCATCCAGAGTACTTCAAAGAGTATGTTCTCTTTTCTTCTTGGCATTGGACTCTGACGGATATAGCTCCAAATCCTAGCCTCGCTCACAAAACTTACACGTGACACCCCTAGCATGTTCCTCAACCTCTCAGTGCCTGGATGTTCACATTTGTAAACGAGATCAGAAGCAGAATGTGTACCTCCCTGCACTGCTGTGAAAATTAATTAAGGTGATACACATAAATCTTGGCATCATAGCCAATTCCATAAAAACCAAAAAAGAGTGACTAATCGCTTTTCAGACTATTTGGATAAGGGCATTTAATTAAACAGTCTCCCTGTTCAGAAAATACAATTCTGCTTTGTTTTGTGTTTTTTATTATTCTTTTCCTTAGCAAAGTGCTTTTGCAAAGTTTGTTATTAATGTTATCACATTATCACAAATCCTAATTCGTAAAGCAGCCAAATTAGTTGGGAAAGAGATGCCACTTTGGCAGGGAGATTCAGTGTGTGGAGCCATTCCGGGGCCATAAGTACTGAGAATACAACCCTAGGAGCCAGGAGTGTGGATTCTGGTCTCACCACTGCCCCTCGCTCACTGGGTGCCCTTGGGCAAAGCTTCTACATCTCTGGGCCTCATGGGCAATAGGCGTCTGTATGGGACTGTCTAGTTCTGTGCCTTTGAAGAGGCTCAAGGAGCAAACTTGCTTCAAAAAACAAAAAGAAGCACAGTTGCCGGCTGCTGGCTAAACAGTGGCGTCATCCGCTGATTACTGGAGCTTTAAGACAAAAGTGTCGGTAAACTGAACATCACCCCAGCTCTCCAGCAGCCAATACCAACTCCAGAGCTAGGGGCTATTAGCACTTTCCCACGTGACTGGAATACCAGTCGGAGACCTGTATGGGTCACAAAAGGAATGCACACTACTGAGATTAAAGTTGGTGAAGATTGCAAGCAAATTGAGGACTGAAAAATGGTTGTTGAAAGGCGGTCGAGCAGGAAGGGAAAGCCATAGGGCGCGTGCTCAGAGAGCTCGCGGCTCTCACCCATCACAGGAGCCCTTTCCACGCCGCAGGTTGCTCCTGGCCGACCCTGTCCGCTTGTTCTTTGCTGACGTGAGCTGGTTCTTTTCAGCTGCCATGTGAAGACCAGATAATCCTCCTAAAAGGCTGCTGCATGGAGATCATGTCCCTTCGCGCTGCTGTGCGCTACGACCCAGAAAGTGAGACTTTAACCCTGAACGGGGAGATGGCAGTGACACGGGGCCAGCTGAAAAACGGGGGTCTTGGGGTGGTGTCCGACGCCATCTTTGACCTGGGCATGTCGCTGTCTTCTTTCAACCTGGATGACACTGAAGTAGCTCTCCTTCAGGCCGTCCTGCTGATGTCTTCAGGTGAGTGTGCCCAGGCTCATTGCTGGGTGTCAAAGAGTTTTTGCTTGTCAGGTGCTCATTCAAATCACCTGATGAGTTTTTAATCTCTCTTTAGCTTCAGAATCATAGCTCACTCTCCAGGGAGCAGTGGGGGTTTGCCAACAGACTGGGAACTGAAGGAGGGTGTCAGATGTCAATGTTTTTTGCGTTTTCCCAGCATAGCGGGAGAGAACCCAGCGAACCATCTACAAGACTCTGAAATGGTTCACCTCCGCCCTGGCCGGTTTGGCTCAGTGGTTAGAGCGTCAGCCTGCGGGCTAATGAGTGGCAGGTTCCGTTTCGGTCAAGGGCACGTACCTCGGTTGTAGTTCATCCCCAGCCCTGGTTGGGTTGTGCAGGAGGCAACCAGTCGATGTGGCTCTGTCAAACTGATGTTTCTCTCTGTCTCTCTTCTCTCTCCTTCCCTCCCACTCTATCTGATGATAAATAGAAAAATATCCTCGGATGAGGAGTAAAAAATAAAAATATCCTCGGGTGAGGATTTAAAAATTTTTTAAATTGAAAAAAGAAACGGCCCACCTTCAATGGATACTACCTTGCCTGCTCCGCAGTAGTTGGCCAAACTTGTCCCTTTCTGGTTTTGTGACACAGAGTGTTGGAATGAGTGACCACACCATCTGCCTCAAGTTCTTGATGAGAAAACCATGAATGAGGGCTAGAATTTGTCCATGGCTTAGCTACAACTTAAGTTTCAGTTATTTATTGTAATATAACATACGATCCAAAACTTAGTGGCTTAAACATCCGCGGTGGCTGGGTCGGGGCTGAGACATCAAAGACAGCTTCAGGCCTCTCTCCATTCAGCCTCTCCTCGGGCAGGCAGTACTTCTAACGTGGCCGGTGGTCTCTAAGGAGGAGAGTTCCAAGGACACAAAAGCAGAAGTTGCAGATGTCTGAAGGCCCAGTCTTAAATCACAGAGCATCGCTTCTGCCTCATTGTCTTTGTCCAAACAAGTCCCAGCACCAGCCCAGATCCAAGGGTCCACCTGAGAGGGATGGCAAAGCCATCTTTAACCTGCCACAGCTCATTATCAAGACCTCTAACTCGCATGGGTGAAGAGTGAATAATAATGCCGACACCTTTTTCTCCAGGGACTGTGTCATAATAAACAAGAAATGCAAAATACATCGGAGTACCCCCAGTTCAGCTGTGTCTCAGCAGTGGTCACTCCACAATATAGCCATTTGTTTGACTCGTCCATCGCTCCCTCTGGACTCTCTCCCTTTTGAGGACAGAGATGTGTCTGAGTGTGCACCTAGCACCTAGACCAGTGTTTAGTAGGATGAGAAATGCCTATGAGATGAAAGGCTAAATATCAGACACAAGTACAAAGAGAATTTAAAAAGTTGATACTTCCTGGTTAACTCAGTAGAATTCCTTTCATGTAAGCTGATCTAGAAATTTATTTGCTACAGAAAGTTTAGGTATGGTAGTGTTTTTTAAAAAGAAATAATTTTTTTTTATTTTGGAAAACTTCAAAATAAACATAAATAGCTACAAGAGCATAATCAATGTTCCTGTGTTGGGCAGGCTCTAGGTTAACCACCCCCACGTTCCCCACCTTTTGATGTGAGTGTGTGCAGAATCTGTGACTTGCTTCTAGCCAATAGAATATGACAAATATGGTGCCATTCCCATGTGACTACATTACATTATGTTTCATGAGATCCCCTCTTGCTAGCAGAATTGTTCTAGAGCAGCGGTTCTCAACCTTCCTGATGCTGCGACCCTTTAATATGGTTCCTCATGTCGTGGTGACCCCCAACCATAAAATTGTTTTTGTTGCTACTTCATAACTGTAATTTTGCTACTGTTATGTCTTAGGCAACCCCTGTGAAAGGGTCGTTCAACCCCAAAGGGGTCGCGACCCACAGGTTGAGAACCGCTGCTAGAGACTCCCCTTGCTGGCTTGATGAAGTCTTGGCCATGGTGGGAGAGTTCACGTGATAGACAGGGAGCTGCAGGTGACCCCTCAGGACTGAGGGCAGTCTCCAGTCAACAGCCAGCATGGAACTAGGGCCCCGGGCCCTTCAGAAGAAAAAGAACTTGTAGCTTTTCTAAGAACTCCCTATGTGACCTTGAGTGTCCTTTAAAATAAAGAAATTGAACCATATAAGTGGAATCATATTCCTGGGGTGGGGGGGTTCAAGGTAATTTTTTAGCTGAGATTTTCGTGGTACAAAAACAGTTTTAAATAACTATCTTTTTTATATGTCTGTTTTAAATAACACAGACTCATGCCCTGGCCGGTTTTCTCAGTGGTTAGAGTGTCAGCCTGCAGACCAGAGAGTCCTGGATTCAGTTCCTGCTAAGGGCACGTACCTTGGTTGCAGTTTGTCCTTGGCCCTGGTTGGGGTCATGTGGGTGGCAGCCACTCTGTGTCTCTCTCACGTCAATATTTCTCTCTCTCTCTTTCTCCTTCCCCTCCCTCCCGCTCTATCTGAAGATAAATGAAAAAAAAAAATGCCCTCAGGTGAGGAATAAATAACGCAGTATCATAGTAAGGAAGCTGTTTCTTTTACCATTTTCTTCCTGGTTATATCTCCTAAACATAGCAGCACAAAGAGAGATTCTATTTGAAGTTAATCTGTCTTTAACACCCCTCTAACACCTGCTAACCTCTTTTTTATTTTTTTAATACTCACCCAAGGACATGCTTAGAGAGAGGAAGAAGGAGGGAGGGAGAAAGAGAGAGAGAAAGATCTCTGCGGGTGGCAGAGAAACATCGATCAGTTACCTTCTGTATGCTCCCCAACTGGGGATCAAACCCACAATCCAGGTGTGTGCCCTGACCAAGTATTGAACTGGCAACCTACTGGTGCATGGGATGATGCTCCACCAACTGACCTCCCTTTTAAAGAAAGAGAGAGCAGGTGTCAGGGACAGTCTTCAGCAAGAACCTTTAACTAAAATGTAACAATGGTTTTTGCTATGCATTTATTTTTGTGGTTGTCTTCTGTTCGTGGCAAATGGATTTTTTAACTGAATGTATTGGAGTGACGTTGGTTTACAAAATTATATAGGTTTCAAGTGTACAAGTCTATAATACATCATCTGTGTATTGTATTGTGTGTTCACCACCCAAGTCAGGTCTCCTTCCATCACCATTTATCCCCCTATACCCTCTTCTACCTCTGGCAAGTGGAGTTTTGTTTACTGAATAATATGAACGTTCCTGTTTACTGAGTCCATTTAACCAATTAAGGAAATAATCTAAGCAAGGTAGATAAAGGGAGCATGTGGAAATGGCAAAACTGTGATTGTGACTCCAAACTCTAGCAAACACTGAAGGGTTCTTCCCAGTTCTGCCTGCCTGACAGCCATGTGACATACATAATCACCTTAACATGTTCCCCATCTGAGCGATCTGACACTTCTCAGTAATGCTGAAAATATCACAGAACACTTTATATTTGGCAAATGACAGCACGACATCAGCCACCTGTAGTTCCTCCTCGGAACCACTGTCTCAGCCCCACTGTTTTGCCTGGCATTTCAGTGACACAAAATCTTAGGCTCCTTCTTCAAAGGCTGTTCTAGGAGCTACAGCTGCTCAGTTCCTTGGTCCTATGCTAACAAGCAGGGAGCTGCGGTGGAAATGATCTGGAAGACACATCTTTGAGAAATTTTGTCTTAGATTGTTAAAAATAGTCTTTGACCTTTAAAAATGTTTCTCTTTTCACAAACGTGTTTAGTACAACTAGAGCGTCATCGGAATGGCCTTTCATTTTTTTCCTACATCATTTATATGACCACCCTATCTTTATGTCTCATCAAAGGACAGACTGATGCCACAAAACCCAGGTTATTGTTTCTCGTTTAAGGAATACATCAGAGCAACATTGTCTTGAGTTTCTATTGGGATCAAAATTTAGCCCTGGCCGGTTTGGCTCAGCGGTTAGAGCATCGGCCTGCGGTCCAGAGAGACCCGGGTTCGGTTCCCGCTAAGGGCATGTACCTTGGTTGCAGTTTGTCCCCGGCCCTGGTTGGCCGTGCGGGTGGCAGCCACTCAATGTGTCCCTTTCATGTCGATGTCTCTCTCTCTCTCTCCCTTCCTCTCTCTCCCTCCCACTCTATCTGAACAAAAAATGGAAAAAAAAATGTCCTCAGGTGAGAATTAAAAAAAAAAAATTAAAGAATCCTGTGGAGAATTTTTCTGGCACATTCAGAGGAAGAGGGAAGACGGGGGAGCAGGAGAGAGAGAGGGAGTGAATAGACCCACAGAGCAGCAACTCCAAATATGAAGGGAAAAAAACAAAACAATATAAAAATACACAAATTGCAATTTGAGCTGAATAGGAGGTTCCAAAAGTACACACACACACACATACATACATATACACTTATGCATATATATATGTATATGTATATATGCATATATATATAAAATGTTGTTTTTTATCTTCACCCGAAGATATTTTCATTGCTTTTAGAGAAAGTGGGAGAGAGAGAGAAACATTGATGTGAGAGAAAACATCAACCAGCTGCCTCCCAAACACACCCCACCCAGGGATCAAACCAGCAACCCAGGTATGTGCCCCTACCAGGAATTGAACCAGCAACCTTTCTGGTGCAGGGATGGCGCTCCAACCAACTGAGCACCCAGCAGAAGCAGCTCATATATTTTTAGACTCGGAAGGGTGGATTGAGCCATTAGTCCCGATCTTTCCTTTCGGATTAAGCAGAACCCTACATAGATTTTGTACTAACACAGATACTTCAATCATGGACACTTGGAGTGTGAACTTATATGATCAGAGCTACGAAAAGCAAGCTGAGGAGACCTGAGCAGGGGATGGTAGGCTTCCTGGAGCCTTGTGAGAAATTCATCCAGGTTTATAAATTACTTTTGTCATTCAAGGGTTTGCAGCCTGGACATTCCACAGTCACCCAGCCTTCTTGTGACATCCCTTTATCATTTTCTGGAAACTGCCTTGCGTCCTGCCCCACAGCAGTGGGAAGACCAGTGGTCCCCTAAGGACTTGGGGAGATTTCCTGGTCCTTACATAGTCATGGGTCCTCTCACTCCGACCTCCCTCTGTGACTCCCCTCTGTACAGGGAAACTGGCATGGCTCACACCCCCTTTTCTTTTCATTTTCATTCCCCACAGCACCCCCAACACAAGGCAGCTACAGGTAGAATTTTGCCGGAGCGTAAGGGAAGGGGAGGAGCGGTTCATCACAGCCTGGCAAACAACTAAAATGGATATTGCGCTTCATTATCTTCACAGGATTCTCTTATTGTCCAACATTCCTCCTTTGGCATCCAGGCCTTCTTTGATGCTCCCAATTTTTTTTTTAATCCTCCCCTGAGGACATGTTTTTAGAGAGAGGAAGGGGGAGAGAAAGAGAGAGAGAGAGAGAGAGAGAGAGAGAGAGAGAGAGAAACATGGATGTAAGAGAGAAACATCAGTTGGTTGCTTCTTGTACCCGCCCCAACCAGGAACCAAACCTGCAACCTAGGCATGTGCCCTGAACAGGAAACGAACCCGCAACCTTTGGGTGCACAGGACAATGCTCCAACCACTTGGCAACCCAGCCAGGGCCCAGTTTTTTTTTACATCTCCCCTGTTCTCTGCACATCGGTGCTCGTCCTCCTCCTCTTTCTCCCAGGGAGCTGGTGGAAACTCAAAACCATTCCCTGGTTATGCTCAGTGTGTCAGCTCTCTAGGTGAAGCTTCTCCTTCTGGACCCTACGAGGAAGATATTCCCATTTACCCCCATCGAGGTGACTGTGTAAACCAGAGATATTTATCCAAACAAAGCCCGGGTCCCCTTCCCATCAAGTACACCCTGCCCTGGCATCCTGGTGCCCGCTGCCCCAGAGTTCATGGAGCACCTATGCTCCCTCTTAGGAGTTAGAAAGTCCCCAGATCTGCCCACTTTCACATTAAAGGGCTTGAATCAGGCAAGGTAGGCCACCCCCTTCCCACCCTGTGAAGTTAACAATCATCTCCTGTCCCCTCAGATCGCCCGGGGCTCGCCTGCGTGGAGAGAATAGAAAAATACCAAGATAGTTTCCTGCTGGCCTTTGAACACTATATCAATTACCGAAAACACCACGTGACACACTTTTGGCCAAAACTCCTGATGAAGGTAACAGACCTGCGGATGATTGGAGCCTGCCATGCCAGCCGCTTCCTGCACATGAAGGTGGAGTGCCCCACGGAACTGTTCCCCCCGTTGTTCCTGGAAGTGTTTGAGGATTAGACTGGCTGACTTCATTCTCATAATTCCTACAGCACTACTGGGTATCATTTCATTCCATTGCCTAGATCTTTTTTGTTTGTTCTGTTGTTTCTTTGTGTTGGGGGGGATTGTTGAGGGGTAAAAGGAGGTAGTCCTTGGCGTAGACATGGATGAAATTGCCCCTTGAATGCGGGTACTTGTAACTATTGCATTTGTTCTCCAGTCCTTTGATGTGAATGCTCGGGAGTTTTTACAGTTCTGGAGGTGGGGTGGGGACCATCATCAATTCACCAGCACCAAGCCATCACCAGCTCCCATCTGTCCCGGGCCAGAGACTCAAGCAAGCGAAATGGCACAGCAGAAGACTAAAGAAGCCTTAAAACCAAGATCATGTGGTTGTCTTGATCCCATTCTTATTTTCTGCGGGGATCACGTTAGCAAGACACGCGTTAGCAGGTCAGACAGCGTTTTGTTTATTCTAGAGCCGTCTCCAGCTCTCCTCTCCCTCTCCTGGCAGCGTAACTTAGAATGTACAGAAATATCGGTTCCCCCAAATCAGCTCTTCTTTCACTGGGATTTTTATAACCCTACGATTTAATTCAAGTTATACAAGGCGTCACTCAAAGAACTGCAGGTACTTAACTGATTGAGACCAACATGGAAAACCGTTTTCTTCAGTGAGCCCAAAGAAATTAGAAGCCTTTATCAATGTCAGTGACTCGACAGTTCCAAAATTTCACATAGTATTACCTCATAGTAGGAAGGCTCTTTCACAGTTAAGGCTCAGAGGAAATTTCCATAGAAATTAAGCCTATTTACAGAGTGTTGTCATTTTTCAATGACGTTGATCCATCATCTCGAAAACTCCTGAAGTTATTTATCCTGATTGCATCTTTGCTGAGTTGACAACGGATTTCCCCATGGATTAAACCTTCTAATCAAGGAGCGATGATGAGCTGAGATGTGAGTCTCGTGGGGGAATTCTGAGGCGAGATTAGTGCAGTTACATTCCGAGTTGAAGGAAACAGTGATCTGAGAGCCCCTCCAGGTACTGATGGTTTGAGGATGCTTCCTTCTGGTCTTGGATCCTCAGGCTCATTGCTGTACTCACAAATAGTTCCTAGTCTCCCTTTCCCTCTGATTTTGTGGCTTAACTATCTCTAAACAAAGACTGGTCCAGCTGCTGACCCTCTCTGTCACTCTCGTAGTATTGCCCTGAGAGATATTCAACAGAAAAAGCCCGCAGACCATGTACATGAAACCTCACTCATCTTCCCTACCCAAGTCACCTCCCCGATAACAGACATTGGAGTAGCTTGTACCCAGAAAACACACGGTGATGCCTCATCACTTCAACGTCAGAAAATGGGCAAAGAATGTACCCATGCAACTGAATGTATCTCATGCTTCACTGGCATAGTAGATGAACACTATTCCTTAGCCTGCCTCGTACTGCCTTATCCTGGAAATACTGGGGAAAATAAGCCATATCAGTGAGATTTACCTAAAAACAAAGGAATGAAAGTCACGGTGAAAACCAAGTCAGATTTTTTTTTTAAACTGGCTCAAAGTCAGGGTGCCCGACTTCTAGTTTGTGCTCTGCCAACTGGTAGATTTGTGACCTCGGTAGATGTGGGTCTTGGTTTTCTCACCGTGGGTCCTAGTGTCTAAGTCACAAACTCTAAATTCCTTCCCATCCCTAATGCTCTACTAATTTGAGGGCAGAAAAATCTAGTTCTTTTGATGGTTTCCTTCATATGTACATTTCCACCTTTATGAAACAAAAATGATGGCCCTCCTAATAGATATGGAAATATCTGGTATTGATTCAAAATGAGAATTTGACACGCGACTCATCAGCTGTGTAGAGAAAGGCAGGGCGGCCTTGGAACAGCATTGAAAACCCCAAGGGGACTGGAAACAATCGGAGGAAAGGTACACGTCTAACGCACTAAAACAAGTACTGACTTCCGAGGAAAGGAAACAAGAACACCGCTGCGGACTTGCTAAGCACAGAAAAGAAGGAGATACAGATGAGAAGTGTGAGCGTGAAGTTCACGGGCAGATGACCGGCTTCGACTTTGTCTACAGAGTTCTTGGTTTTGCTCTTTCCAGTCAGCCTCTAGCCAGTCTCCTTAAATCTTTGCTTTGTTAACATTTCTGTTGAGTCTCATTGAAACATACCCCCTTAGTCACCTTCTAGCTCCGGGGTAACTGAGAAGCTTTGCTGCGGGGGGCACGTTTTCCCTGAGAAGGCAGGGGAGGGAGGCTAGCAGGTGGGTTACTGGAAGGTTCACGGACTCCTTGGGCATCAAGCCTTCCCAGGAAAGTCTCCTCGATTAGTTTGGCAGAGATTCCCTTGCCCATTAGACACACCCAGATTCCAGATTCGAATATAAGTACAGAGCCTCATCTAAAGCGAAATTGGACTGCTTTGTGGATTAACCATGATTGGGCATTGGCCAAACAGTACAGTGTATCTACAGTAATCCAGACAGCCCCAAGTAAATTTACATTTGATCCTCAGCTTCTTCAGTGATTGCCTCAAACAGGCAAACCGCTGATCTAAACGTCTCATTTATCTAAGGAGGACCTGCCCTAACGTACGTCCGGTGGAAAGGACAGGCTGTAAGAATCAAAAGAGCGTGACCCTAGTGATCAAAGTGACTCGTTTCTTCTGTAACTGATTGAGGAACTTAGTGCATCTCAAACTCCATCTCATAAAACTCATTTAGGAGGGATTTGCTCTGTATGTTTAACATTTTTATATTGTCCGGACTGTCGAATCAAGTGTGGACCTAAATGAAACCCCTCCCAGTGGGGAGACATCCCAGTCGAGGAGGACACACCGTACAACTGGGATTCTTATTTATAAATCACTCAACTTTGGGGATGAGTGGGGGGTGTGTGTGTGTGCGTGTGTGTGTGTGTGTGTGTGTGTTCGTCACCCTCAAGTGTACTTTGCTCTTCAATTTAGACGCGCAGTATTTCCAGAAATAGTGAGAAAAGTAAGATCTTTTCCTCTTTACGATTCTGCTCAATACACCATGTGCCACCTCAGAGCTTTTTCTAGTCAAATGAGCCTCTGTCCTCAGTGACACTCTGTGCCGTGTTGATGCCTCAGCCCAGTGACGTCTCCCTCACCTGTGTCCGAGTGACACCTCTTCGGTCTGCAGCGCTGTCATCAGAGCGGACCACCGGGCTCGGCTCGGCTCCAGCAACGCCATTCCAGTGGCTTTCCCGTGAACAGGTGTGCAGGCCTGGGCACCTCCTCAACACTAAGCCCCCTAAACTCAGCCTCCACGGAACTGCTGAGCGCCCCAAGGCATGTCATCGTCAGTGACACACTCTTATTCTGTGGAACTGTACCTATTGGTGTCATATTGACCTTTTGCTGCATGAGTCATGAATTATGAAATCAGTCGTATGGTTTTTGAAATGTAGCCAGCATTTGTAAGGCTAAACCTTTTTCATAAACTGAATTTAAGTGAATAACCAAGCCACAGTTCCTCTTCAAAAGGAGAGTGCTTACGGACATTTGAATCTCTTTGCCCTTTCCAAAGGCTTTGGCATCAGGTTCTAAAATAAGCTCGTAATTTTTCCTGTTATTTTAATAATATGGAAATAGTAGCATAGTGTTTCTTTTGATAGTGATAGACTATAATCCATATTTAAATTTTATAGAGAAGAAATTTTATTGTACTGTGATGTAGATATTTATTATCCAGGTAAGGATTTGCCCGGTGTGTATTTTTTACAATTGAAACGTTTTACTTTCATCTTAAAAAAAAAAAAAATACATTAAAAACACATGCGCAAAAAAAAAAAAAAAAAAAAAGGACTAGGGGGAAGAAAGGTTTGGCCTTATCACAGAATTTTTACTGTGCTGTATAAATGTTTGCAAATGCAAAAAGTGTGCATTTCTAGTGTGTGTCCACATGAATTAATGCCGCCTTCAAGAGCAATATCGTGCAGGTAAAACGCTGTTTGTGGCTTTCTGTTGCACAGTTAAAGCTTACCCACCTTCCGCACAAGACAATCAAATATAAATCTGTCCTCCTCAGGATTCAGATAACACTCAAGTCGATTACGGAGCACAATGCAAGACAAAAGAAGACACTTTACTTCATTACACGTGTACTGTTGAAACAGGTGATATCAGGGCATGAAGGAGCTGACAGTTGCCCCGCCCCCTTTTCTTTTGGCTTTTCCTAATTAACTTCACATTTTCAATCCATTCTAGAGCCAAATTAGACCTCGATGCTCTCTCCAGAGAAAACACCTCCCCCTCCCCATCATGTTGTCATGCCCTGAGAATCTACCGGAAAATACTACCGGATAGGAAAAGATGGACGGTCATCAGAAAGTCAGTGTTTTGCAAACAGTGTTAAGTGATATTGCTAGATTGGTGATATTTTTTTCAGCCTAAAACTCTGTCAAAATCTGTGATCAAAATGTTTTAAACTATCCAAAAAGAAAATTTGTATATTTGGGAAAAATGGATTTTTACATAGCTTTTGTATGCAGATATTAAATTGTAATTATGAATATAGTGGGCGTAGATAAAGTCATAAGCTTCAATTCTAAAAAAGAAAAAAGAAAAAGCTTATAACAGATCTACCTTCGTGTGTCTTTCTTTAAATCGTATTTTCTAAACGGGCACAGTATTGCCTGCTCCTCTCATCTCAGCTGCTTCCAAAGGGAGGGGAAAAGGGATGGAAGGACATTTGTTTAATGAACATCTACTAGAATAAGCAAATTTCCTTGGGAGGAGGCCATAAAGGGAGAGGAAAGAGAGAAGTGGGGGAGGGCCACAGAAATGGAGTGAGGAGGGAAGACTTAACTTTTTTTTCCCCTTTATTGATTTTAGAGAGAGAGAGGAAGCAAGAGGGACAGAGAGATAGAAACATTGATGAGCGAGAACATGGATTGGCCACCCCCTGCATGCCCCCCACTGGGGGTCGGGCCCACAACTTCGGCATGTGCCCTGACCGGGAATCGAACCAGCGACCTCTTGGTGCATGGGTCGACGCTCCACCGCTGAGCCACACCGGCCGGATGAGCACTTAATTTATTGCAACTCAAAGACTATACTCATCTTCTTATCTCAAAATGTTTCAGAATATTGTTAATGGAATTATATTAATATCACCCACATATCTCACTATATATCTCAATCCCCACTGCCCTGAACACATGTTAGGACTCTCCATAATGACTGACAAAGACATAGGTCGAACTGGCTTAAGCCTAAAGGGAATTTATTGACTGTCGTATCTGAAATGTCCAGGAGTAAGGTAGCTTTAGGCATGGCTGGAACTGGGTGTTCACTCAGTATTTCCAGGAGGTTCCTCCCTTCATCTGTCTGTGTATATTTTCCTCTGTCAAAGTGTCCCTTAGACTTCATGCTCACATACCTTTTACCTTATGGTGACCCCCAGTAGCACTAAGATTAGCCTTACAGCTTCAAACCAGTCGAAAGAGAGTTTCATTGCCCTACAGTTCCAGTAAAAAATCATGAGCCTATTCATTGGCCCAAATTAAGCCATGTGCCCATCCCCAAGCCAATCACTGTGCTTAGGAGGTCGGATTTGCTCATTAGCTCTGAAATCGATCCTCTGAAATCTCAGAACTGGGTGGGAAAAGAGGGATAATCAGCCCCCTCTAAACTAAGGACTAAAAGTTGGGGCAGGGACAGTTCCTCAAAGAAAATTCCAGGTTTGGGTACTGTCGGAAGTGGGGAAGAAGAGCAAGTAAGCAAAAGCATCAACTGTCCACACCAAAGGTTGAGTCTGAGAGCGCATCTGTTTTCAGTGCACCAATGGAGTCTCCTCCACACACAGGATGCCCAGCACGATTTGGCCAGGACACAAACCAAACAAACACTTTCCAAAGAGAGTTCTGATTACATCCTACTGGCTCATGAAAGACGCCAGTCCAGGTAGGATGGAGCAAGCATTTGTTATTTCCTTGGGCTAGATCAGTTCCAAGTACTATTTTTTCAGTCCTCCCATTCTCTGTTCAAAGGCTGTGTATAACTTTTATATGTATCTCTTTTGTACATTATGTACTCCTCAACTCCACCCTAACGAACCCTTTTCCCTTCCCCAAAAGATTAATTTATTCATTTTGTATTAGAGTTTTTTTACATATAGATTCCAGCCAGATGTAGTTCCTAACCCCTTCGCACAACAAAGCCAACCTAAAACTAACGATACCTAATGGCTTGATTTTGGTCATGGAGCTGGTATTATGCTACAAAACTGGACAATTCTAATAATCTAGAAGGAAGAGGAGCCAGAGGTCAAATTTAGTTGGCTTTCCCACCTTGAGAAGCAGCTCACCCTGGTTCATATTTAGCTACTCAGGGTACTTTAGCTTTGTAAATCAGTGCAATTTTCATTGGCTTCATGTGCACAAGTTCTGACACATTCAATGTTGTTCAAACCAAAAAGAGAGAGAGAGAGACCTACTGAAATGTAGAGTGTTATAGATACCCTTTGAGTGTTATCTCTAGGATCCATGGACTACTTGACAAAAACGTTTCATGTAATACTCTGAAAGCCAGAATCCATTTATACCATATACTGATGAAATCACAAACGAGGTCTGTGTCAGTGTAATGCTACTGCCTGTATATTATACTAAAAGGAGAAGAGAGCTGTCTTAGCCTGGGTTTCCCTAAAAAGCAGAGCTTATGTGCTGCAGTTTTATTTGGGATAGGAGCCCCCAAGGAAACAAGAGTGGAGAATAAAGAAAACAAAGAATAAAGAAAATGAGGCAGAGGAGGAAAGAAAGCAAACACAAGGTTGAGAACTCAATAGTGTAAGACCACCTGCTAAGGGACCAGATGAACACTGCATCTCAGGATAATTTATAAGAGCTTATCTCCTGGTTCTCATTGCCCATTATCAAAGCTGGGGGTGACTCCCTCTATGTTTAGGTAGTGCACGCCTGGCCACGGAGACGGTCCCGCGGTGTCTCCCGCTCCAGGAGGAAAAGCAAGCCCCCAGTGGGGAAGGTTGGTCTCCTATCCCACAGCTGGTCAGATCCCGCCTAGACCAGGTGCAGACTAGGTGGCAAATGGGTGAGACAAGTGACCCTGGGGCCTTGGGAAATAAATAGATTTTAGAGGATCTGCCATGATCTAATGCGGGGGTTCCTCCAGCCAACAAGTTCTTCTGCTTATATGGAGAAAGGTCACAGGCTCTGAAGTTCCAAAGAGAATCACAAAGCTCAACAAAGAACCAAACCTATATTGCACCATGTCGTGAATCGGCACGTATAGGGACTTTTAACTGCATACAAACTGGTCACGTAAATTGTCCACTTGGTGACATTCTCTTGCAGTCGCTGAAAAAGACTAAATAGACTATTCCTCCAATTACACTGCATTTGTTTTTCTCACAGGGGGCTCGTTTCAAAGACAAATTTCTTTCTATGCAAATATCTGGCTGAAAATTTTGTAGAAGCCAATAGAAATTTGTTTTTCTGTACAGCATTTCACTTTGGTGCAAACATTTTTGGAAACAATGCGTATGAAAACTGAAGTGGGATGAAGCTGTAATGAGCACACATCTTCCAGGACAGAATGATAACATCCTCTTTATTTCCTTTTAACTTGACTTTTCACGTGAGCCTAATTGCAGTGTGGGAGGCAGGGGCATATAGATAAACCATCTTCAAGTTACTGAATTTCAAAATTCTTGGGCCCACAAATCCTAATGGATCAGCAGGTATGAAAAACACTCTTTAGTTTTACCCTGAGTGGGGAAGGATGCTGCAGTCTCATTTGTCACAGATATTCAGGTGTATCTGAAGTCTAATGATTTTATAATTTTCCCTACATACACTTTTGGCCTTGAAGAAAGAATTCAGGATTTCTTTCCACTACCGAAAGTCAAGGCC